TACCCTGGCAGTGATGCCACGGCTTGGATGTAAACACTTCATTGCTGTAAGACCTTGGTGCCTGTAAATGCCTCTGTGCTGGGTTGGATTTAGTTGTCATTACACTTGGAACTCATTTGTTACCATGTTCTGTTGGCTCTTAGAGGGAATTCAAATACCTTATACCACAGAACGTGAAAAACGCAAATCCCAGCAAAATGGTAAAATCACAGTAACAGGGTGAAGGTTGCAATGTGAATTTACAAAAAAAGAGAACAGTATGAAGGTTCTGGGTAGGGTTAAAAATAGATTTGGAAAACAGGTCTCGTGTAAATCTGTTTGGTCCCCGTTAACAGCTGTTTTTCAGCACCTGACTTGACACTGGGGTCATTAATGGAAATGAACGTGGATTAATGCCAAAGATCTTAACGGTGATAAATTTAAGAGAGTCTGTTCTGATTCAGGCGYTGTTTCTGAAGGCTGTCTCTCTGTCCTGAGTGGTCAGTTTACTTCTATCAGTCCTGCAGTGGTTAAAGATATGAATGGGAGTGACAGAGAAGGCATCTGTGAAGTTTTTTTCTGGTGCTCCTGCTGAAGCAGCAGGGATATTAAAACAATCTCTAGCTCCTCAAGAGTGGCCCTGTCAACTTGCTGAAATGATGGAATGGTAGTTAGGTTATTAGAAGAAAAATTGGCACAAATTGAGAGAGAGAGGATGCTCTGGCAGCAACCACAAGCAGCCAGCGACTCAGTGTCTTAATCTGTGCCCTCAGGCTGCTCTCTATGATACAGATGACACCTTGTCAGTGAAGATGATGTGCTGGGTCACCCCTGAGTCCAATGGGCTAAATTGGCCATGGAGGGAAGGATTGCTACAGTATAGAGCCACCAAGTCACATCATCTAATTCTTCTTCTTTTTTCTTTTTTTCTTTTTTTTTTTTTTTTTTTTTTTTTTTTTTTTTTTTTTTTTTTTGTATATGTCATCATTTGGTACTGACAGTAATGGCCAAGGGTTCTCATTCTCATAAGTGTCCCCTGGGCACAGATATCCCTGTACATTTGTGCTTTGAGGAAAGAGTCCTAAACTTTCACAAGGATTGCTTTGCTTCTTTCTGGAAAGTTTTACATGTGGTTCCTCCTTTGCCTTATTGCTTCTTGGGCACAGGAGAAGGGGAAGATGGGGAAAGGAACAGGSTGCTTCCTCTGAGAGCCACTGTGTTGGCAAAGACAAATTAGTAAAAAACCTACTGCTGTTAGCAGCCCAAAGGTCTTAGTGCAGAGCAGAGAAGTCTACTGGCTGAAGATGAAGGCTGGGAGAAGATGAGGGGATTCATCCTCAGCAAAGATCATTTGCAAGGGATGGAGAATATTTGTCTGGATGTAGTATTGGGTTAACAAGCTTTGTGACAACTGAACCATCAGGCGGGTGTGTGTGTGTAGTTTTTGTTCCTTAGTGGAACCTTCAAGTAYACTGCAGGGATCAGATCCATAGAATCTATAAAATAAATGTTTTTCCCCCATTTTTTGTTATCTCTCTGCTGTTTTATTCACTTGTTCATTTTGTCCGCATTGGCTTCAGTCCTACACTGGCTGCCAAAGCTGGTTGAAGATGCTACTGCAAGCATCAGTGCAACAACAGTGTTCATGAGCTGCTCAAAATCCTGATAGCGAGACTTGGATTCCCTTTTTGAGGTGCCTGAGAGCCTTAAATTCCACTGAAATCAAAGGAAATGCAATTTAGGAAGGAGCCCAGCTGTGTTCCTAGAAATGAGTGCCCTCTCCATGGCCTGAACTTGTCTGTCAAACCCCCAAAATGTTGGCAGCTCAGTCAAGTCCCTACCTTGTGGTAGAAAAATATTATAAAGAAAAGCCTAAATTATGCTTGGTTTTCCCCTAACTCTGCAGGAGTTGGTGGATTGACAGAGCTGTCAATGGATGGTGGAATTTAGTCTGGAGAAGTTTTAATGACTTACTCAAGTTAATGCAGGCAGTGAGTGACAAAACCTGTCCCCTGGAGCTTTGCATCATCGTTTATGGCACCTGTGCCTAGAGTCAGAGCCTTTAAGCATCTTTAGCCAATAAAGCATTTAAAGAAGATGATCAATGTAATTCAGATTTGGTCCCAACAAAATAAAGAAAGCACTTAAATATTTTGTGAAATTAGAGATCTTGGTCTGTGCATAAACCTTTAGYTCAAAACAAGAACTTCATGCTAATGGGGCCATTAACCTGAGAAAACAGGCATTTGTGTTCAGTTTTTGTGGTTTCCTAAAAAACTGGCTGATTAGCAATGGAAATTGTGTGGCTCTTGGTGGTAAAGGTGGTTTTGGTAAACAAAACAGCAAAGGAATAAACTTGTTATTCTTTATTAAACATGACCCTAGCTGTAATTTTGGGCTAAAGTGGCAATTGTGTATGGATTTCTTAAAGCAGGGATCCAACAGAGAGAATAGATGAAGGGCGTAATTTAAAACTGAGCTCAATGCATTTTCTCAATGCAAACAGCACAGAGAATAAATGAAGTGAAAAGTCAAGCCAATTTCTGAAAGAAAATAGTTGGCCAAGCCCAGGGCAGAGCTGGGAGCTTAACTAAACTTCTGCCTTTTCTTTCAAAATAAGGTGTAAGTGTTTTCCCCAGTTATTTTAAGCTATGGGTCAGGGGTTTTTCAACCTCTCTGCTAGGKAGGTTGTTTGACAGATTGGGTTTTACGTAAAGGAATAGGAATTGAAAAGAAATAATAGAGTGATTTTTGAGAGATTTAAGTGTCATGTAGGTGCCTACTGCTCCATGAAAGTCTTGAAAGTTGTTCCCATGGAGTATCACTCAAGTGAGTCAGTCGTGGTTTTTCTGTTTCTTGGCAATTTTAGGGGSCTGGTTGGTCAGTTGGCTAGTTTGGCTTAAGTGTTTTCTTTGTATGGAAATGCAGTTTCTGAGGCCTGGAGAAGTCACAATTTCTTCAGGTGTACTTGTGACCTGAAGAACTTACTCAAAATGAAGACCATTTGTTAGATAAGAATATATTTGTGCMTGTAATGTAATATAAAAGTTTGGACCAAATCTTTGAGTCTCTTACTCAGGCAMGATTCCCTCTAGAGTAGACAGGAATTTTAGCTATTTATGAGTGTGATAAATGCTGTTGTCTGCTGATCCATGTTGAAAGCACTTCACAAGGGATGATCAGACTTCTTGTTGGTGGTGTAAAATGAGCCTTTAATATAACTTTCTCCTTCCTGCCTGTAAGCAGGGAAAGTGTTGAAGTTAATGCAGGCATATTAATRTGTTTAGGTGAATTATGCTTTCAAGGAGATGAAACACATGAAACTAAATAATTTGTCTTCACACAGGTTATAGCTGTGAGACAGGGGAATTCACAGGCTTGTTTTCTTCTTGCCACTCTTAGATTTTTTTTTTAACATGTAAAATATTATTTTCATCTGGCTGTGCAGATTCTAAACTCTTCCAAGTCCTCCGGTGGGCATTCACTCCTGAACAATCATCAAATGGAGAAATTYTAATTAAAGCCAAGTTTTTTGAAAGTGGCAGGTGGCTCTGAAATGCCTGAATTCTGCTGTGATCAGCTTCTGACATTGCTGCACACAGGCCATTTGCCCCCTCYCCCTGGTGGAAAGATGGGGGGATGCTTGAAAAGTCATGCATCATTAGTGTTCTTTCTTGAAACCRAACCATCCAAAAATTATCAGCTCTTACGGAATTTCTAGCCAAGTAATTAGCTGAAACTACTGCCCTTAATTATCAGTAATGTGGGGCAGGGAAGGATTGGTGTATTTTTATTTTTGTTTACTATTTAAAATTATTTATTTTCTATATAAGAGTACAAATCTTCCTAAACTATGATCTGTCGTTTGTCTCCCAGATCAGATTATTTTTTGTTCCAAAGTTCTTTTCCCCTGCAAAAATGTGGTTGTTTTGAACTTGGATGTAGGATGTACATCTGGAGATCAGATAGGCTAAGAATTTACAGGAGGTGAAAATGTCCAAAAATCTGATCTTCTTTTGCAGGGGGAAAAAAAACTTTTCGAAGCAGTATTTGAATTTCCACAACAAAGCAGGCGATTTTGCCACWGCCATCTCTTTTTGAGTTGCGCTCTTTTTTTTCCTTTTTTTCCTTGGGTTGTGGTTGGGGTTTTTTTTTGGTTTTTTTTGTTTTTTTTGTTTTTTGAGTTAAAGAATTGAGCTGGTGTATTGTATTTTAAGACTTTGAGAGGTGAAAATGTCCAAAAATCTGATCTTCTTTTGCAGGGGGAAAAAAAACTTTTCGAAGCAGTATTTGAATTTCCACAACAAAGCAGGCGATTTTGCCACTGCCATCTCTTTTTGAGTTGCGCTCTTGTTTTTTTTTTTTTTTTTAATGGCAGCAATAAACTCTGTGCTTTAAACTGGGTCTCTCCAGGCTGCTTTTCCTTTTTAAAGAGCGTGGGCAACTAATCTGCAGCAACCAGCCACATAGCTGGAGTGTTTTCCATTCTAGGCAATATCGTACTAATTTGATGCACACATGGATGCTTCACACAATCTGCAGATTCATCGCTGGCATCTTGCATTAGTCATCTGACAGATTGCCAAGTGTTTCATACTCCTTTCATGTGACTTTATTACAAAACACACACACACACACATAGACACACGCACTGCCTTGTTCCTGCCAGTAGCCAGTTCAGTGAGAATTCACTGCAGTTCTGTTTACAACAGCCATGGAGAGAAAGCTGCACTTATTTGCCACTGTCCTCTGCTTTCAAACGCACAAGTCCCGGGCTGTGTTGTGCCGCTCTCATCTTATATAATGACATTAAGCAGCAGCCTGCAGAGAAAACCAGACTCAATGAAAAATGTAATAGCATTGTTTTTTGTTCGTAATACTTATGCTATTAATTAAATACCGCTTTATTTTTTTTTTCCTGCTTTGTGCCAATTGACATCATCTTCTGCATCTAGTGCACATGAAAACTGCGTAGTCTCCTAACTTGCTTTCTCTTTTTAATCTCCTTTTACACTTTCTAGTAACGGCACAGCTAACAAGATGAATGGAGCTTTGGATCATTCAGACCAACCAGACCCAGATGCCATTAAGATGTTTGTCGGACAGATTCCCCGTTCGTGGTCAGAAAAAGAGTTAAAAGAACTTTTTGAGCCTTATGGAGCTGTCTACCAGATTAATGTTCTCCGAGACAGAAGTCAGAACCCTCCCCAAAGTAAAGGTACAGTAGTTGTACTCTCTTTGCTTGCARTTTGCTTGTTTTCCTGATGATTTCGCTTGCCTTCAGCATTTCCAAAGGTTTGCTTCTGGGTTCTCTGTTTTGTAGATTGCTGTGTTGAGCTATGCAGCAATCCTAAAATAGAGGACTCCTGAATCCTATCAGATATTGCCTTCCTCCTCTTATTAAATTGAAGTTTAATTGTCTGTTATCTGGMAGCATGCATTCCAACTGTGCAAAAAATAACAAAATATCGCTGTCTTTGTTTAAATTATCATTGCCAAGAAATGTGGAAACCTGAGCAGTTGCTTCCCAGGATTAGCTCATGAGAAATATAATTTTCTATTTCTTTTCATTTCCTCTCTTTGCACTCCAGGTGGGAATTATTTTAAGGAGACAAAAGGGAAAAATKATAGTGGTGGGTTCTTGCCACATCATTGCTCCAGCCGCAATWAAAATTACAAATACTCACCCTGTCCTTTTTCCAAAATCCGATTTCTTTTCTGAAGTCATGTTAAAGGATTGTTTTTTGGCACTGATATTGTTCTAAGTGAAAGGGTTAATTTTGCTTCCTGCATTTTTTCTATACACATGTAAAGTATTTGCCCCTGACTGTATTGCTTTCTTTCACTACTTATATCTGGGCTTATTTAGGCATGTGAGAGTTTTGTGGATCATAGCTCTTCAAGTGTGACATGTGCTTACATGTGAACTGAAAGGGAGTATTTTGTTTCACAGAATGCATTTTTCTCCCTCTGTAGTCATATATTTTCATTGGTGCTCCAGGTTTGGTACACGGAAGCGTCRCTGCCGTTACAAATAATTAACGTAGCTCAGAGGCAGAGCTGGATGTGTGTGYGTGTGCCTGGCTGAAAGGTTGCTGGACAGTCATTCCTTCTCACTGTTCAGACTCTAAAAGCCTTCAAAGCTATGGGGAATATCACAGGATGGTGTTGTGGGCTGGCAGCGAATTTGCAATGCAGAACAGCCCTCGCTGGGGATGAGGGGAGGCTGCTGTTGTGGCAGGCACATGCACAACCTTGGGTGCTCCCTTGTTTTTGGGCAAAGCACTGCCAAGGTTCAGCACATCTTCCTTGCTCTGGGACATGGGAGAGGATCCTCTCAGTGCCTTCTCTTTGCAGTCAGGTGGTTTGAGTGACCATGGTCCCTTTTGCGTTGCTTGCATCTCACTTCTGGTTAAAAGACATGGYCAGGGACGGGGTCCAGCTCGCTGTACCTTGCTGCTGATCAAGTGTCTCTCCAAGATCACTCTTTCCCTTCCCCACCCCTGCAAGTGTTCAAGGCTATGGTGTCTGAACAACCTGCTCTAGTGGAAGGTGTCCTATCCATGGCAAGAGGGCTGGAACTAGGAGGCCTTTAAGGTCCATTCCAACCCAAAYCATTCCATGATTCTGTGATTCAGAAGCAGAARGTATTTCTGGTTGCAGTATTCCAGTGTAGCTCTGTTTGCCMATTTCCCAGGACTGATGTACKGTAGCMTGTATCCCCCTACTGTGTTAGCACAGAGCCCTCACCAAATGTCTTTTTCTTGTAATGCTGGATAGGAGAGCATGAAGAGGTCAAACAACTGGATTTTCTGCAATCCAGGCTGCTATGGATGAGCAAACTCCKCCCTAGTTTAAGCCACTAAAATGCTGAACTTTGAGACTCGTCCATTTGGAAGGAGCTGATTCCTGGGTCACAGCAATGCCTTCCCACTAAGCAGTAAATGAAGTGAGAATGRTATTTTGGTTAGACAGAAGAAACCCATTTTTTTTTCCCGTTTCTGTAGCATTTTCCATTACACTGTACCTGTCCATCAGGCAGCTGGAAGGCCTAAGGATGAAGCACAGGTCATGCAAATCTTTGTAGACTAATTATCAACGTTYGTAGTCCCCACATACAATATTCTTTTTGAAAGATGGCTGAGTTTTGGGGTTGCTTTTTGCTTGGACTCTTTTCAGCCATGCAGAGATTATGCTTGTCACTTCAGGCATTACGTGTTAATTAACGAGTAAATGAAATTAATCTTGAAGATAGAATAACCTTCAGACTTACTTTTCCCTGGCACCAGCAGCAAGCTCCTCTGGTGGTCAGCTTTTCCCTCGGAAGCTTTGGAGGGGTTTGTCTCCATGCTGGCTCTATTCTTCCTCCTGGCTGAATCTGCCAGCAAGGWTGCTGGAAACCTCTCAAGTTTCTTGTGCATATCTCTTGACTAGGGATGATCTTTATTTTCTTAAATCCAGTTGCACAAAGGATTCTGTGTGAGAGATTGTTAAGAATGCTAGAAAACAAACAAAGCAAAAAATTGCCTCGAGAAACATCTTACAGTCTTCTTTTCATCACTGTGCATGAGAAAAACTTCGCCTATACTATCTAATTGGCATTTAATAATGAAATTGAGTTTTCATTTTTTGTTTGGAGGCCATAGAATATCCTGAGCTGGGAGGGATCCACAAGGATCACAGAATCCAACTCCTGGCTCTGTACAGGACAACACTAAAAATCACATGTCAAATGAGGTGGAGTCATACTCCATGTTCCTCTTCTGTGTAAATACCCCCACAAAACCAAAACAACCATTTTTATTTCATTTCAGCTGGGTGGATTTGGGTTGTGCCAGGCATTTTTCTGCCTGCTGAYCCTCTGTATCACCTCCAGTTTTGTCGAACGGTCCATCAAGGGGAGCTCTTGGTTGGCTGAGGCAGCAAAAAATCCATTTTTCACTTCATTGCATGGTTGGGACTGTGTGTCAGGCAGAACATTCACAGCCTGCTGTCACACAGAAATTTTTTCAGAATATGCTGCAAGCCATGAGCTGCAATGACAGGAATGCAAGTTGGTGTTACTACACCACACAGAGGGGGAGCAGTTTRGTTTTGCTCTTTAAAAAAAAAAGCATTTTGATTTTCAAAAGATTTCTCTCTTCTCAGACAAGGGTTGTGTATGTCTGTGAGCTTGGCCAAAGGGGCTCCTCTAATTTGGACAGAGTTTTTCTCTGATGAACTGTTTATGAAGCTGCAATCTGAGTCTCTCCCAATTCTGTCAAAAATAACCATGGGCTGCTTCTCTCTCTCCTGCTGTTATTCAGACTGTCTTTCATACCCTCCAACGACAGACGGCCTAGTTCATGTCTTTCCTCCCTTTTTGTATTGCTTGCCAGCTCTGSAAAGCTGAGGCTGGAGCAAGACAGGTAGAAAGCCAAGTTTACCTCACTCTGGAAAACTAGAGAAAAGCCATCTTAATTCCACAGATATATTGATACTAGTGCAAACATTGAAAGTTTATTAATTGGAAGCTTCAGGAGCAGCTGCATTCTAGGAAATTTCCTTGTGCTTTCCAGGGTCTGCAGTTCTCGGCTTCTTTGGGATGTGTGAAAGAGCTCAGCAGAGCAATTTGGCTTTGTGTTTATCCCCTTTTGTTTTGTAAGGCTTTTTCCTCTTTCTGCAACAAGAGAAATCCGGGGGATTAGGTAAACGAAATACAAAATAAGAAAAAGAGAAAGGGGGGGGTGGGGGGAATAGAAAATTCTATAACACTGAAATAAATAGCACCTTTGGCCTCTGGGGGCTCTGGGGATTCAGAGTCTCAGATCAGCCCTCTCTGTCCCCTGTCCAGCTTGCTCCCTTTCTGTAATTTATTCTGGGTGGATAGATGACTTTTTTCCAGCATAGTTGATAAAAAGAGCTTCTCTAATACCTCAAATGCAGCGAGCTCTGTGTGAAGGCAGCACACACTGCCACAGAGATCTCTCTTCCTCCCCACTGTTTTCCTAAGCCGGAAAGATTTCCTTGGCTACTTTGGTTTCGGAGTCCAAGTGCTGAGGCAAGCAGATGGCACAGGGCTACTTCTGATTTTGAAATGCAGCAGAAGAGTCTTGGGTCAGATCCACTATGTCCTTTTGGCACCTTGCCTCTATTGCAATACCTGATAATTCTTGTCAGGATCAAGGTTCTGCAAAACAACTTTGTGAGCCTGAGTCTCTTTGTGCTGCCATAAAAATGGGCAGAAAGCAGGGAGAGGCACCCATGTAACTGCTGCCTCCGTGTTTCCTTGTAGCCTTTTACAGACCCTTTATCAGATTAGAGGGWGGCTGCTGAGTGAACAAGGATGTGCTGTAGTTAAAGGCCAGTGTTTATTATTATTACCCTATTTAACAAGGTAATTTAAGTCTACCGGGAAGCAAGCAGAGGAATCTGATAATGAGGCGTTCATCTGCTGCATACAGGAGAGTGGGCAAGGTGGCATATCGATATATAGAGATATATATGATATATATATGATAYATGTGCATRTAGGAGGCAGAAATTACCTGGCTTGTTTGGGCACTATTTCAGCCTGAGTGTAGCCCTTCCAAAATAACCTGGTGCAGGCAGGGGGGGTGGTTTCTCTCCTCCAGCAGGTCCCTCTCACAGAGCCCAGTATAGGAGGAGGGAAAAGGGAACTTGGACAGTCCTACACAGGAGTAGAGCTGCCACACTCTGTCACAGGAGCCCATCCTGAGTGTCCTGATCTGCAGCAAGGACCAGCTGCTCTTTGTTCCTCGCCTGCCCTTGTATCACCACCCAGCACCTGCCTCTCCTTCAGGCCATTTCAATACRTTGTGTTTGGCAAAACTGTTTTAGATGCTCTTTAAAAGTTCCCTTCAGCCAGTGCTCACAGAGCCAGGGTTTCTCTACACATTGTGTGTTACTCTGTGTTTTGAGTGCTCTCACAGGTCCACATGAACAATTTAACTTTAGAGATCAGATGAGTTGCATCACGAGCACATTTGCTGTCGAAACAGCAGGATGTGTGACCACAGCCATCGTGCATATGTGTAGTAAGATAAATTTAAGTGATGGTGGCTGACAGATTTWTTGTTACTATTGCATACTCGGAATCTTTTCCTGCACTGGATTAAAAAGTGCCTTGTGTGTTATTTTTTTGGTGTGTTGTGCACTGTGGGAAGTTTCGTACAACAAAGACTGGCAAAAGCCAGATGTTGTCATTAAATACAAGTA